AAGTTACGAAATCAGATGCAAAAATTTACTGTCTCTGAATAATCATGCCTTTTTTTCGAAGGATTGTGTTAGAGTATGATTACTGACCCCCAAAATAAAGGAGGTAGCCTTAATCTGGGAAATATGGTTTTAACTGTTTGTCCTGGAGATAGATCGAAAGTTTGAACCCTTTAGTGTTAATTTCACTTTTTATGTATTTTCCCATTGTTTGAGAACTATTAAAGTGAGTTAAAAAAATGCACACAATTATTAAATTCGTTAATCCAGAGATAATTCCATGCAGATTAAATTTAATACTCATTTATTAATTTTTATTATTTCATTTAATAATAGTCAAAATGATTTTGAATAGTGAGATATACATATTTTTACATCATTTTAAAGAATGCATGGCAAAAAAAAAAAAAAAAAAAAAATTGGAGTGAAATTAATTGAATAGTTTTTTTCGATTTCTGAGAAAATTTCTCGAAAACTAAAAAAATAAATAAAAAAAAAACGGAAATGCTTAAATATTGTAAAATAAGAAATTACATATCGAGATATAGCGTTGAAAATAATAATTCATTTACCATTTTTATTATCTTTGATTAAAAAATAAACTAAAGTAAAACAAAAAAATATTCTGATTGCCTACCTATATTTCAAAAAGTGATGTTTCATTAAAATAAATCCTGCTTATTTAAAAAAAAAACTAACATGAACACACTACACACACTAAATTGAAAATATTATTAATTAGGACTAAATGAAAAGAGGTCCACATGGTCATTCTCTAAGACTCTCTTTCCCTGTGTCAAATAAAACTTTTACACAGAGGACTTTTGACCATAAAGTATGTTACTTTAAGAATATATGTTTCAAATAAACAATTTTTAAAAAAAGGAGGGACAGGGAATCAATAATTTAGGGAACATTAAATCTGAGTCTTATTCGGTACCCCCGTAATATGGCCCTCCAGGCGATTGCCCGTAACTTCCACCAGCCCTGGTATTAATTAATGTTAAGTTTTTATTGCACACTCTTATTATTTATTTTAATCATAATTCCATTATGATTAAAATAATTATTATTATAATTACATAAAATAATAATTTAAATTATTATTTAAAATGATAATAATGTAAATGATTAAAATAATCTATATATTTCTTTCTCTTATGTGGAACCAAAAACACGGTTATTTCTCTACCTAAATTGGCATCACTATAGTCATCTATAATAATTCATTTTGTGAGGTTGTCTTAAGTAATAATTTAAGTAGTGTTAAACAATTAGTTATACATTAAGTGTTTGTTTAGATTCATTTTGTTGGGTAGTCTTAAGTGATAGTTTAAGTAGTGCTGAGTCAGCACTACTTAAACTATCACTTAAGACTACCCAACAAAATGAATCTAAACAAACACTATACTACTTATACTTATTACTATACTACTATATACTTATTATACAAGTTATATAATAAGTATTTAATTAGAATTTTTTTATAGACATAAAAGCTTAGTTACGAAGTAATTATTTGGATTTATTTTTGATCCTGACTAAAATGGCTGTATAAATTTTAAGCATAAATGCAGAAATTTTAAACATTATATATTCCAATAGTTTAACTGTTGAAAGTTTGGACCCCTCTTAATATTAATTTTCCTTTATGCATATTTAGCAATATTTCTGGAAGATTAAAAGAGAATTGAAATCTTTTCCCATCATCATCATCATCAATGGTTCGACAGCCCAGGGTGGGCCTTGGCCTTCTCAAGAAGTTTTTCCAGGTTAAGCTTTTTTTGCTGGTGTTCTCCAATTTTTTGTTTTTAAGACCAAAAGGTCTTTCTCCAGGTCATGTATCCATCTCAAATTCGACCTGCCTCTTTTTCGTGTGCCAACTGGTCTGGCATTGAGAACTCTTTTTGTGGTACGGTCTGCATCCATTCTGATAACGTGGCCTGCCCATTTTATTCTCTGTCGTTTAATAAAGTTAATAATGTCAGGTTCATTATATGATTTGATATAGCTTTAAATTTGATCCTCTACCATTTGATCCTACACATCATTTTTTTGAATTCCTCCAAAAATACTTCTCAAGACCTTTCTCTCAAAGGTACACAACGTAGCCTCATCCTTACAAGATATGGAAAAAAAAATATTTTCAGGTAATTTTAAAATTCGTTTATCATAAGATAACTCCATGTAAAAATAATTTCGATTTTTTTTAAAAATTATTATTTTACTTAATAAGAGTAGATAAAATACTGAAATTTAAGTACTCAAAGTACAATCAAGCAGTCTGAGTGAAAATTAAAAGAATTAGTAATAATCTCATTAAAAATCAGAATGCAGGGCGTTATTTACGTGAATTAATTTATTAAGCTTGTTTTTAAGCACATCCGAACAAATTTTGTCCTTTTTCAAAGAAAAAATTCCTCCAGTTCTAATACAAAGGCCACATCACCAATCACATTTGATATTGGCAAGTCATGCGATCTTGTTTTCTATATTTTTATTTTGCTTTTTCCACGCTCGATGAATCTTATTCTTTAATTCCTGACAATAAAGTTTACATATTTTAACACCATCTCAAACTATGTAATTTTAAATGACAAAATTAGTTGAATAGCTCTGGGTGGTAAAATTTTAGTTATATTCTTTGTTTTCACCTAAGCTTTTGAAAAAACACTTGTGCTATTATTTCAGATCTAAGTATAAATAATTTTATTTATTATTTTACTTAATCAAGCAAAATAATAAATCAGGGTTGGCAAGGTTTAGGACAGAATGGATTAATCCACGGTTTAAACCATCCTGTCCAAAACCCTTTTACTCAAATTATGTCACAATTTTATCTGAGCAATATTTAAAAGGTAAAATAAACATAGAATTAACAACATATTGATAATTAAATATACTAGAGAATATTTGTTTTTAAAAGTATAATGTTTTATTAATATTGTTTGACTCTTCAATTTAAACAAAGGAAGATTAATCAGTAATAAAGTTCAATTGGTCCTCTCATTCAATAGTACATAACTGAAGTTTGGCCTTGCCATACAGGTTAAAATATTAGGGACTAAGTGCTTGGTTCGTCATAAACAGGTTTATTTATCTATAGTACTATTCAAGAATACTTTTATTTCATTCATGTTCAATTCTTTTAGCATAGTGGTGATACATCACCAGTGTCAGTAACTGAAACTGATGTTATGCCCTTCAAAACTGTTAATACATTTTTCAGTTATTTTGTATTTTCAATTTAAACTAATATATTTATATTTAAAAACAATTTTTTTTAAAAAATAGATGTCTTTTTTATCATCCTGTGATGCAGAAATTATAACATTTTTTTAAAAAAATATTGTGAAAAATAAAAGGTTAATTTTTGAACAAATTTAGTATTTTTTTTAAGAAAAATTATTATTTTTTAATATTGCCATATTTATCCTTATGCAAAAATATTATTTATCAGTATTAAAAGCATATTTATATTTAAAGGATTAGGTATTCACTTTTGTTGTTCAATGAATTGTGGAGCTTCAAAAATTATAAACCTTTTCCTATTATATTATATTATTTTCTTTTAATAAGTTATAGTAAATTGTATAAAAAATATCAAATATTTATTGATACATGTAATTATTATGAGTACAATGGTTACACCTATAGAATTTTCACCTTTTACCTAAGTTCAAGGTTTTGGACACTTTAAGACAGTTTTACCCAGTTTAAGACAGTAAATCCCACGTGTCCTGTCCAAAACCAGTTTAGGACGTCCAAAACCTCAATCCTGTAATAAATAAATTCACTTAATCACAAGTCTACCATAATTTTATCATTAATAAATTATGGTAGACTAAAATACATTTTTTCGGAAAATTAAATCATAATAATAAAACACAGCAAAATTTTTTCTCGTATTTTAAAAAAAGAATGCCATTGCACTACAAATATAATCTCCAATATCTACTATTTTGAGTGCAAGGAGAGCTTTTACGAATTTTTAATTTTTTTATCTGAGCAATTTTATGCCAGTTTAAATTTTTAAACCACTTATACACTTACTTCAGAGAAAATATGTTCAATATTTATTAAAAAAATGATACAGATTCAACTCTTATTCCCTATTAATTGTTCCATAATTCATATGGGAAATTTCCATTTTGGCAAAGAAAAGTTAGATAGCTTAAGGGGAAGTTCAAATATTGCATAAGTATCTAATAAGGGAGATTTGGGATTTGTTTAATTTTGCTGATAAGGTGGAAAGATGGATACAGTGCTTACGCAAAACACTAAAACCTCCCTATTTGCAATTTTTTTAATTGCAAAAAAACAGAAAAAATTTTTTTGTTTAAAATGCACACTTTGAAAAATTTCAAATTTGAAATGAAGTTAAACTTTGGAAAAGAAAAAAGTGGGAAAAAATTTCTTCAAGGTGTTTCAAATTTCACATAAATGAATTTAAAATTAAAATTTTATTTCATGTAAAGTTACTTATTTTATTTCAATTTAATGCAAAATTCCTAAAATTAGATTACTATAGTCAAAGCTTAGGATGAAGGGAAAGCTGCAAGTTTAAGGAAATTCAAACACTTTTTGATAGTTTTGAAATTAATGATAATAATATAAATACTTGAAATAAAAAATAAATAGTTGATAAGAGTTAATGATAATAATTATTAAATCTATTAACAGAATCACTTTAAATGGCAAAAGTTAACCATATTTCCTAAGACTTAACAAAAATGCGAGTAATAATAAGAAGGAACAAAGCAGCAGAAGAAATAACTTAAATGCTTATATACATAAATACTGTTATTTTATTTTTTCGAATGAAATATACAATATATATTAGATTTTATCCAAGTAAAAGCTTCTACAAAAATATCTAAAGATACCAGCATAATTGAAAAATAATGCAAAACATTTGGTTCAAATATAAGTACACAAAAAAGGGAAGAAAAAAGCTATATCACACATTCATCATGGCTTATTAATTTCAATGCATTTCTTTCTTTTCCATCAGAATGAGGTGAATTAATCTTAAACTTAAGTCAGCGGATCTCAAATGTTCCGTGACATGATTATTGGGCTTACATGAGTCAGGACTTTTTATTGATTTTTAAAACCTGTAATAATACTTATATCCAATCAATAGTACATAATTTATCTAATATTTTGGATATTTCTATGAAATTATTTAAGTAGATTTCAAACGAAAAAAACAAACTGAAGAATAAATTTTTTTTTCTAAAACAAAAAATTGTGAAAAGAATAGGCTTTTATAAAAAATTCTAACCTTATTTCTCATCAAAATGTTTAATTTAAAATTAAATAACCGAATTCAGGAACATAAAATCATGTTTCTCTGATAATCATTTTCAATATGTTCTTTTTGGAAAATCATATTTAGCTTATGCACACACCTAGAACAAATTCATATGCCTAAATATTTTCAAACCCAGTTATAAATAGTTAGTTTTTCTCAAGTTAAAAATATTCACACCTGCTAAAGAACTTTATCTATGAAGTCGAGGGTCTCTCAAAAGAAGCTTGATCATCTAGTATCCCACAGACAAAAAAAAAGTTGATATAAGTAACTGCTGATTCTAAAGCTGTTGTAATTCATTTTTGCATCAAATATTATTGGTCATAAAAACAGTAAAAATATCTTTTAAAGCACATTTGGCAGTTTTTTGAGGGAAGTTAATAATTTGCAATATTTTGGAGGATCTGGAAAAAAAAAGGACAAACAAGAAGTGCATTGAAATTAAAGAGCAGTAATTTAAGTTCTCAATATATATATTTTTTTGAACTTTGAATGCTTGGTATTTAATGCATTCTGGAATAGCTGCATCACAAAAATGTCTATTTCTCAAGTTCAATCTGAAATAAATAAAAAGAACAAGCAGTTAAATAAAATTAAAATTGATTACAAAAACTTATATAACTATTTCAGCAAGCATTTATTAAGACAATTTTACAATAAAAGGTCATTCTATAAATATTTTGCATGTAATGATAGAGCTGAATATGGATTTAAGAAGGCAACAGTAAATCCTGCTTGAATGTTGTCATGCCAAGATAGGCATAACATAATTCCTATTTTTTCTATGAGCTAACCTTTATGGAATAAGCTCTAAAATTAAGATTGTAAATCAGAAAATATGGAGGACTCCTTTGTCCCTCTTATGATATTCTGGGAAAACTCCTGGTAATGCCTTCAAGATTGGGATTGTGATCTCCTCGTGGTGCACCCTGGATAATACTAAATCTGCCACAGCCTTCATCTTTATTTCCAACAGAGAGCAAGTTTCTGGAAAACCTTGGGAGAGCCTTCTGGCATCGTGTCTTCCGAAAAATCTCCCTAGAGCTATCGGTGTTTCATCTTTCCGATTGTTGGCATGATTACTTACAAGCGGACTTGCACCGTGTTGGTCTTTCTGACTCTCCTAACTGTATTCTATGTGCAAATAGGGCCCATATGAATGGCGGCACCTATGGAACTGCTCTGCCCTCTAGGAGGCTCGTAATTCTTCTAGTTTCAAGACGCTCCCCGTCCCTGGAGATATTTCTTTGTTATATTGGACTGCAAGACTTCTTATGCTCGAGAGAGCAAATGATGGACGTAATTAAAAAAAAAGATTGGTTGAGATAGAGCTGTTCAGAACGCCATCAGCGGCTCATGAGTGAACATATAGGGAGCCTTACATACATTGATGGACAAAAATTTTATCGTGTGAGCACTAAGTGCATGTCAACACAGGCCTCCCCAGAACATCACCTCCACTGCGTGAAAGCTTTTGCATGAGGATCTTATATCTACACCTCCTATTCAGGGTGCGTAGCTAGACTTTTCAACCAAAAATAAGCACCTTTTAAGCACACAAAAATATTTTTAATCACTTTCCAAAAAAAAAAAAATCATAATTAGGATCTGCACAGCAATAAAAATTTTTTCTTTCTATTGTTTAAAGTTCTTAATTTATAAACATAAAATCAATAAAATTCAAAAACATGTTCAAAAACTTTACATAATCATGACAAAACAACTAGTTTCTGTTAAATATTGCGGAGAAAATTATGAAAATCATCAGAATAATTTGGAACGACAATCGGTACAGCAAAGAAAAAAACTTTTTAAAAGATAGAAAATTTAAGCACTTTTTACAGACCCCGAATAAAAAAAACACCTTTAAGGGCTTTTAAAAAACGTAAATCAAAAATAAGCACCTTTAAGCACTTTTTAAAAAAGCTACGTACCCTGTTACTGTGTATGACTTTTTGAGGATTCATGATCTCTTGAACATAGTCTAGCTTACAGCTAGAACTTGAGGAATAAGCCACAATAACAAAAATAATTAAAATTAATCAGTAATTAAATTAATTAATTAAATTTCATCAAATCCATCAAAAAAAGAAGAAAAGAACATTTTATCAGAAAAAGAACTTAGAAACTCATAAAAGATCTTTTTATCAGTGATATTGCATCTGAATGGACATTTAATTCTATAGAGAGAACCTTTATTCCAACTCATTTACATAAATATTTAATAAACATTAAAGGTTTGTAAGATATGTTTTGACTTCATAAGATAGCCATTCGTTATTAATTTCTCTATCATTTAAAATTTTTAAAGTATATATTAAAGGAGATTTATAATAATAATAATCAATAGCCATTACTAGTCAAATCAAGAATTCCTTCTTATTAATACTATGTTATATCTATTATTCGTTTGTAGCATCTGAATACTTTTGTTGTAATCCTTTCCTTTGCTTGCAAAATTTTTTTCATATCCTTTGCTTGCCCTGTCTTGTCATTCTATTGAATCGAGTTCGAATCCCAGCGATGCCAGGTCAATACTGCATCCGGCTTGCACAGATCAAAGTGCTGACGTGAAATATCCTTAGTGGTAGACGGACCATGGGTTAAAGATCCTTTGCAGTCAGGCTAACCGGGGAAGATTCTTTTGGTCTTCCTCACTATGTAACGCAAATGCGGGTTAGTTTAATCAGTAAGTCTTCCACGAAGGCAAATTTCTCCCAATACTTGATCTAGGAGTTTTCTGGATTGGGTTCAAAATTATAAGGCTAAGGAGTTGAATATTAGTAGTTGTAAACCCAAAAATTGGGTTGGCTGTTCAACGACGGTTATAAAGTAAAATAAAATGTATGCTTGAAAAATAGATACAGCTTACTGCCTTATTCCTAAACACTTGATAATTATTTTTACTAATTTAAATATATAAAAAATTTTTTTTAAAATTTCACCCATCTAGTGATAAAAGAATAATGATTTTTATAATTGTCATTTTATATATATAATATTGGGACATTATTTGAATGATTGAGTACACATTTTTGAGGGAAAATGGATCTTTCTAGCTGTTAAAAACTATATCATTATGATCAGCAATTTTTCGCTTATTTCAACTTAATATATTTTAGAACTAAGAACTATTAAATCCTATAGTAGCATTTTTATCCTTTTATAATGACTGGTTATGCTATGGATAGAAATTGCAGTTTAGGTTCTCAAACTACTCGTGATTTTACTCTTTATCCATTTGGAAAACCTATAAAAAGTGTATTATTATTTAGTAAAAGTATTATAATCAATTAAGTATGTTTAACTTTGAAAAAGTATTCAAGTTTAGAGATGAAAAGTACAATAAAAAATAGTGTATTAAAAGTACTATATGGCAAAACCATTATAAAATAGTAAAAACAAGCTGTTGTAGGCTTGGTAATGCTAAAAAGATAGATTTGCAGCAAGTATAAGTAACTACATTAACGCATCAAAAGTATTTGCAGTGCTAAAATAGAAGTCAGCATATATTTACATTATAGCTTTAAATATCACATGAAAAATTTGAAAATTAGTCAAAATTTTCCATGACTTACTTATGATTTAAGCTGTGCAAGTTGTCTCTCTAATTCTTCATCCGATGGAAGGGTAGCTTTGCTAGTTCCACCTAAGGCTCCTTTATGTGCTGAAGGAGCTGTTGCCATCTGAAATAAAATGAACAAGTTTTAACAATTTGCAATATTAATTTTTTATAAATACTTTCACAAATAATTCAAAAATCTAAGTTTATTCTACATAAATTCCTATTTTTGCATACTTACAAAATAGATATATCACAGAATTAACTACAACTATTTTAAAAAACAATCTATTTTTTCATTATGATTTCTAAACACAGGAATTTAAGAGAGGGTAACACAGTGATGTCATTTTATCGGAAAGAGTTCCATAACAGGATGGCACAGTGCCGTTATTCTGTGGGAAGGGGTTCTTGTGTTCAATTTCCATAGATTGTTTGATGCGCATCCTTGAGCTCCAGATCAATTGGTACCAATTTATCAGAAAAGTTAAAGTAGCAATGCTGACAACATTGTTTACACCACTATGCTACAGCTGTTGTTAGAGAGCTTTTATTTTAATACAAATACTCATTAACTAAAATGAATTATACATAAAGTCCGAATTATTATTCTATGTCCGAATTATTATAATATGGCATTGTTTTAAGCCATAGAACCAATTTAATTACTTTAATGAGGTTTAACACATGCTATAAACATTGGAAATTTCTTCCTTTTGTCTGCAGGACAAACATTTAAGTTCTAACCATCATGTACATTAAATAAGTGAGTTATGCTGAGACAATTCCCAAAGAACTTTCTTTTAAAAAAAAAAGGAATTTTGCATAGATTTATAGGACTTAACAGTGGTCTAGAAACTAATAAATAGTGCTAAAAAAAGAATTAGGGGAATTTAGGCAACTGCTAAGATAATGACCGCCTAAGTGGGTGTTAATGGAACTATAATTATAAATGCAACTATGACTTTCAGTAAACAAAACTTTGAAACTTCCCCATTCATTGGGCCAGAAATTGTTTCAATCAAATTTATATTTTTCAATATAAAAAATAATTAAATCTGATCCATCTTAAAGAATAACCATAATGATTATAAGAACACCTAATCCATACCACTAATTTCAATACTGCAACTAAAAGTTTAATTTTTTTCTTCATGTCTATGAAATTACTATAACAACATGCATTAAGTATATTTGGTGAGTTACTGTGTTTAAATATTGAGGAAACTCAACCTCCTGAGCATTAGTTGCAGCCTTTTCAAACTTTAAACTTTTAATTGCAGGCTTTCCTGCAACAAAAAACCAGTTTCTTCATGGTACTTAATGGGAAAGCAGTGAATAGCAGGAAAATTCCCGTGCAGGGGTTCAACGCTTACATGGTTAAGTATAGTGAGAACATAAATAAAAGCTTACAAAATGCTCAGTAAAAAAATGGAAGTGTCTGCCAAAAAACAAATGTGCACCTGATGTTTGTCCTCTCAAGAAATGAAGAGAATAAACACACTTTTGCACAAGTACATACACCTGAATAATAATGTATATCTATAACCAAAATTTTGAAGGTTTAAAAATCTTTCCGAATAAGTTAAAGAAACCACTTAATTGAGGTAAGGGTGGAGTAAAATAGAACACAAGCGGACACACTAATTTTCAGAAAACTGAAAGAAATTCAAGATGTATGCAAGAAAAATGCATGAAAATAAACATGGACAGGGTATCTGCTACATTTTAGATTTTCAAATTCATGACTAATTCCAAGAACTTTTCATGACTTAACAAAGTTACTATTTTTTTCGACAAAAACAGAATAATAAATTTAAAAAGCATTATAATAATATTAATTAAAATGATAGGTATAAACAAAACTGCTATACTTTGCATCTTCATATTTATTGATTTTAAATTTAAAAAACAGAGTAAAGAAAGAGTTGAAGCAATAAAATAGCTGAGCAAATAATTTTTTTTTCTTTCTTTTTTTCTGCAGAATTATATTCTAAAGATACTTTTCGTGTTCATCAGAAAGGAAAGAAATACCCCTGATTTTTCTGTTCCCATTTCGGAATTAAAAAAAAATTTGCCTATGACTGGCTTGCTTCAGCTAGAATTTTAAATCGATAAAATAAAAATAATAAATAATAACTCTGAAATCACAGAAGTTTAAAAGATACTTCGCTCAAGAAATGAAGTTTTTTCTTTCATTTTTTGAAAGAACACCATAATTTTTAAAGAACACGATAAAAACTTTTTATATTTTAATGAAATATAACTCTGAGTGTGGATTTTGTTACAAATTCAAATATGCGGAACACCATGAATTGTTTGAATTGAGGGAGGGGGGAATTCCATTAAAAAAAAAAAACGTTTTCGGCGACCTAAATCCATGACTTTCCGTGATTTTTTTTTAAAAAACAGTTAAAATCAAGACATTTCAGGACAAATTTTGTTCAATATCGAAATTCATGATTTTCCATGACTTTTCAGGCGCGCGGATACCCTGCATGGAAATTCAACAAAATAATTAATAAATAAAAATTATGTAGCAGTTTGGGAACTATTTATTTACATTAAAAAGTAAAGTCCTAATTCTTTCTAAAAAAATAGAAATATACAAACCTTTCCAGATATTTCAATGCCAATTTCATCTAAAACTTGATTAATCACAGCATCTTCTTCGTCTTCATCACCAGATTCATCTAATACTGCACTTAAACTATCTTCAACTAGAAAAAAAAATTAACCATTACAAACAAATTGTGCAAAACACCTAGAATAAACGAAGTGAATAACAGTTTTCTATTTGAAACAATAAAGTCAAAAAGTAAAAGCTACTAATTAACTTTATCTAATTTTTTAAAAATTATAAATTTAAAAACAAGAGTTTCTAATAAACAAATTCAATTATATTTTAATCCAAAATTAAAAATATCAAAGTTACAAAAGGTTCTAAAAAAGTAAATAGATAGCTTTTTAATTAAAAAAACATAAAATAAAAAATTACAAAGATTTTGTAGTTAATATACATCTTTTTATTTAAATGTGAAATATGTGAATGTAACAACCAAAACCAGTGGTTGAAGTTTATGTCACATTTGTTCCTATGTTTGCAACTGTTCACAAGTGGGTAAATGAGTTAGAATGTGGTCATATATCAACAAATGATGAATATCTTTTAAAATGATGGCCAAAATTCAAGAAAGAATTTTGATTGATTAGTGAATTAAAGTGCACAAAATAGGTGAAGGCATACTTCAAAGTAGGCATTTCGATAATAAAAGCTTAAACACTGCAAGAGACCAAAACAACATCAGTTGAAGTTCATGGCAAATCTACTTCTGTGTTTGCATTTATTCACAAGTGGGTAAATGAGTTAAATTTTGGTCATGTATCAACAAATGATGAACATCTTTCTAAATGATGGACTAATTTCAAGATAGGATTTTGATTGATCAGTGAATCAACGTGTACAAAATAGATGAGGAAGCGCATACTTCAAAGCATAGCAAGTGAAATATTACACGAAAAATTGTTTTAAAAAAAATTCTCAAGATGCTTGGTGCTGCCCTCAGAAGCTCAGTTTTAATCATGAAAATTACAGAATTACCACCCTATTCACAAGATTCGTCACTTGTGACATTTTTTTCTGTGACCTCTAACTTGAAAAAAATCTTAGAAGAAAATTATTCCTGTAGAATTAGAGGTTATCTTTCAAACTGATGCCTATTTTGTGAACCTCCAAAAATCCTACCTTATAGAAGGTTTAAAAGTTGAAAAAATATTGGGACATGTATGTTGATCTAAAAGAAGATTGTGTTAAAAAATAAAAAAGAATCTACCCAAAATCATTCTTCTAAAAACCTTTTAAAGGACATTTGTATTATTGCATCAACCCCAATAATCAGAACTTTTTTTTTATAAAGTAAATTTTAAAGTATGAATTTTCATTTTAAACAGTTACTTTTTACACAATATAATTACGAAAATCAACACATTATAAAGTTCTGACACACATTGTTTAGTTCAGGGGTGATTGTGGGTCCAACTCAAAAATCCTGAAAATTTCTTGAGTAAAATCATTTAATATCTTTATAAATTTAAATCATTGAAATTTTCAAAAGATGATATTCTAAATGAATTATATGCAGCATAATTTAAATGAATAATTATGTGTAAGTTTGCTTTTATCTCTAATCACATTTATTATTCTACCAGAAAAAATATTTACGAATGAAAGTAAGAAAAAATATTTACGAATATTTACGTATAAATTCTAGTACTAATATTTTTAAATAAAATATACAAGAATTTTTATATATAAATATGATCGATGATTTCTTGAAACTTCTGGTCTTTGTATTTCCGGAAACTTTAGGATTGCGGTTAGCGAAAAATCCGGATTTTTTCTAGAGCACAATCATCCCTGTTAGCTTCAGCAGTAATTAGTAAAATTGAAAATGCTTCAAAATGTAAATTCAAAAATATTAAAACAAAACATTGATATTTGAAAAGGAGGAATATGATAGCACGAAAATTGTTTTTTACATAGTTGAAATAAAGGAAACATTATTAAATAAAATTGCATGTAAAACAATGATATATACTTATTTCTTCAGTCATTCCCATTTTAGTTGTTTCTTTTTCAAAATCTTGCATTGTTTTGGCTATTCCCATAGGATTCATTTCTCTGTTAACAGCTCCCATAGTCTAAAAAGAAATAGCATCAAAAAGTATTATTTTTCATACTAGTATAAAGTCTAAAAATATTAAAAAAACAATTGGCTATCAAAAGCATGAATAAACGTAAAAATATTTAAAAATAACGGGCACACAAAAGCACAAATAAAATAAACACACAAAGAGATAATTTTAAAAACAATAAAATAAAATAAACATATTCGTGGATGTTGAATTTGAAGAAGAGCCTCAGAGCTCATATAAATCTTGATAGGCTAAATTAAGCCTTACCTATTGAAACGCAGTGCTATAAGCGAAAGCAGAGAGCACACCGTCCTTTACTATACTCAATAAAAGCAGAGAGTTGTTGATATTTTGGAATAGTTTTTGGTTTTTTGGATTTTGTAAGTTTATTCTAACCCGTTACAGGATTTTCTGTACTTTATTGAAATATTATTAGTAACCCGTTAACGGGTAATTTAATGTCATTATTGTATTCAATGTCATGTGAAATAAACGTTCTTTTAAAAAAACAAAGAACTGTTTCTTAATATAGATTGCACTAGGAAAAAGGTTTTGAATTGAGGGATAGTTATCCATATAATTATTATCAAATTGAAAAGAAAAAAAAAGCATTTAAAATAATCTTAATAATATAAGATAGAGAAGTGAAAGAAGAAATCACAAATTTTTCTAAGAGTTACGTGATGTGTCCTTTTACATAACAAGAAATATTTCTATTTAAAGCATATATCACTATCTTACATATTTTATATTAATTGTTTTTAAAAAATATATATTATGTAACACTGTAAAAGAACTATGCAAAACCAAAAACAGAGAAGTTTAATATACAAAATAATAAAGTGAAAATAAAAGATAAAATTAGTTCTTTTTTTAAATAGATACAACCGGCAAACAATTGCAAAATAACATGAAATGGAAAATAATATAAATTCTTGCTCTCCAACTTATTTTGCTAAAATAATTTCAATTTAGATAATGACTAAACACACATATATCCACTTGAATAAAATGTTTAAATTTCAACATTATGGAATGAATATATTTTCAGATAAACAGAAAAAAATGAAAACAATAATCAAATAAGCAAAGTACACTATTCAGCAGGGATAATAAAATAACCAGATAGGAGAAAGTTCCCAACTTTACCATCTCTTCCATAGAGTGAAAAACATGTGCAACACATTTTAAAATAAATTCAGTTACATCTTACACACTTAACATTAATGCAAATTTAAAAAATAAATAAATAAATAAAATAAAATGGGCAGGTTTTTTTAAAATTTTATAATTATAATTTATTTTTATAATTATAATTTATTTATATAATTATAAATAATGGAAAGAAAGGTATTACCTTTGCTGTTGTTGCCATTGTATCTGCCAGCTTAGCACTCGATGCCATCGCCTAAAGTAAAGAAACAATAAAAATAATACATTAAATTTGTTACATTATGATATATTTAAATGTCTCGTTAATATTTATTTAAACATGATGAAACAAATTGAACTTTTTTGAAAAAATAAAAATGATTTCATCAGAATTTTTTAAATAAAGGTTTAAGTTTTATACTTTGAAGCTAATTGTTATATACTTGGAGCTTAACAATAAAGTAAACTATCACAATTTGTGGTAAATTTATTACAAACATTGCCTGAAAGGCCCTAATTTATATAAAAAAAATCTAAATATAATACTACTACTACTTTCCTTTACCTTAATTATGAAAGAAGTGACAAAATATTTGTAATTGAGAATTATTAGTTTCGAGTTAAAAGCTTAGTATTAATTCTTTAAATTTACTCAATTTTAATACCCAGATGGAACATTGATATTTCTGTTATACATATACATTTTACATTCTTGCAAGCATAAAGCTTTGTTTATATACTAAACACTAAAACAAAACAGAATGATGCCACCTAATTTTTTTTTTATTTTTCGGTTTAAATCCAAAAAGAATTAAAGTATTAACATGCATCTCTCATGCAAAAACGTATAGTGTCCTCAAATATTACAAGTAAATATTATCAAAATAAATAAAATATTTCTTTTCTGGAAACTGCCTCCTTATATTATTGATTTCATTAATAGAAAATTAATCTCACAATCCCCCAAACTCTCCAAATCAAACTTCGACAATAAGATTGTTTTACCTCACTATCCAAAAATAAAGTTCCCAAATTGCTAAGATTTTGAATAAATACGCCAAAAGAGATTGGGGTTAAATGAATTGTGAAAACGTTGAATAGAAAAATGCGAACTGCTTCTTTTTGCATAATTCGCAACTAAAATCAATATAGTAAAGGAAAAATCTCATTTTGAAAGGGGGAAAATTAAGCACTTTTCAAAAACACCCAGTGAAAAAAAGCACCTTTAAGGGCTTTTAAAAAACGAAAATAAGCACCTTTAAGCATTTTTTAAAACGCTACGCACCCTGTTAAATTAATGCAGAGATGTTACATATTTAAACAATATGGGTAAAATGAAACATCCACAAGCACTTTCACTCTTGTTATTATTTTCATACAGAAAATAAAACATTTCAAAGATTTTAACATAGAAAGCTTAATTTTTAAAAAAAAATCACCTTTGTTGTAGAACCAACAGACTGAATTTTTGACTGAGCAGTATAAGTTCGAGCCTTTTGTTGTCTAACACGAACTAAATTTTTAGCTAACACAGTGGCGACCTGAAAAAGAAAAAAAAAAAGGATTAAAATACAGAAGGATGAAATGTAATTAGAATTTAAATTAAAATATAATAACTGGTTTTTAAAGGAACACATATTGAAATCATTTAATGAACAGAATAGGTTTTCAATGCAGTTTTTTTAATAAAGTGACTAAAATCAAGAAATTAACTTCTCATTCATAGGGTATGATATCTGTTTTATAGTAGTAGTTAGTTAAAATAAAAAAAAAATTTAACTAGAATATTTTAATAAGATATATCTAAAAACTTACATAATTAATAATTTTTCTAGTTTTTGGACATTTATTTAGTACTAAAATTTAAATTCCTATGTCTACAAGACAGTGCGAACAAGATTGGTACTCTTGGAAATTTCGTTGTTGAGATTGTGTTTAAATTTTCGTGTAATTTTATCATTCATAAGGCCTTACTATATCTTATAAATTTTAAGAGATTGTGAGCCATTAATCAATATAAGGAAATTAATATCACATCATAAACAAAGTGTAAGGTTACCTCCAATTTTTCATATTTTTAGCTAAAGTTAAATGGATTCACAAACTGAATGAAAAATAACACAAGTCATACTACAAACAATACAAGTATAGTGACAATATAGAAAGGCTAGTTTCTTAAGCTTAGGCGTAAAAATTAATTGGAAGATGTAACCCAGAAGTCTTATTAGGAATTTTAACAGCTAGCAGTACCTGTGATTATAGCTTTATTTGGTTATCCATCTATATAAAGCACAAGTAACTTTAACTCCCAGATAACAATCTTTATTTGGTTATCCATCTATAGAGCACAAGTAACTTTAACTTCCAGATAACAATCTTTATTTGGTTATCCATCTATAGAGCACAAGTAACTTTAACTCCAAGATAACAATCTTTAATACCAGTGTTGTAACGAAAAATTTTTCATGAGAAGAATGCTAAAAACTCCAATACTGATTCCATGGTGTAGGGGTTATCACATTCGCTTTATGCGTGAAAGGTCCCCAGTTTGATTCTTGGCAGAATCAGGTTTATAAATTTACATAATTCTGTAAATAAATCTTTTAAGCTGTGATGGCTCAGGGGATAGAGCGTTTGCCTTCCAATGAGTTAAACCGGGTTCGAATTCCGCATCCGGCTTGCATCGACCGACCACTGTACTGACATGAAATATCCTCAGTGGCAGACGGTCATGGGTTAGAGTCCCCTTGCCGTCAGGCTAACAGTGGGAGTTTCTCGTGGTCTTCCATGAAAAAATGTAGTAAGATGTGGTAAGTTGGGTTTAGATAGAATTATAGGAATTTCAATTTGCATATTAATAAATGGAATGGCAATAATGTGATTGTTGATTTTATTTCAATGAATATCGGGATTTTTTTTTTAACAGAAAAAGAAACAAACTTAAGTAGTTATAAAAAAATCAATAAAGTTAGGCTAATTACACTTTATTTATAAAGTGTAATTAGCATAATTTTATATAATTATTCTTTATAAACAACAACTAAAATATTAAATAAACAAAAAATCTGAATGATAATATTAATTTTATGCAACAATATACAACAAAAATATTTCTACAAAGTCAAAATCTAAAAAATGAAAACCTGTTTGTTTCCTTGTTTAGCAGCTTTCCTGATTTCCATTTCCTATAATAAATATAAAAATATTAATATCAGAAAAGTTAAAGGAAATACCTTTTTATAAGTAGATTAAATAATAGTAATACATAATTAAGAGCTTTCACTTTAACATTGTTTGCAAAATGTCAAATTAAAACACATTTCGCATAACTGGGCTCTGATAAAAGTAAAAAGGAAGACCTAGAAAAACATAAGCAAACAGAAATGCAAGCAGACTTTAAGAAAGATCCTTTTAAGATATTAGAAGAAACTAGAAACTGTGAGGCTTGAGAAAGTAGGCTGGTTGAGCTATGTGCACACAGGCGTGAACAGCCAAAGTAATACATACAACTATAATATAAAATTTGATATGTTTGTCATACTTAAAAATTGTTGCAATTTTTATTTAATTTTTTATTCTTACTTAAAAAAAATAATAAAATGCCATGATCTTCAATAAACAAGAAAATATCTTAGGCTATCATCAGTATATATAACTAGCAAAAATAACACAATATTTACCAATAAATTACTTATCTTTAGTAACTTTTACAATATTTCACTGTAAAAATACCAAAGTTTAGTTAAAATTTCAAAATGCAATCATTCTTGAATATATTATGTAAAAATTTGCCCAAAATTATAAATAACTATATTTTGTGCATAGTAATTAAAATATAGCAATAAAAATAAGTTATAAATAAAAATTTAACAAACCAGTTGTTTTTCTTGTCTTTCTAAATCCCTTCGATCTTTTTCAACATCTCTTTGAGCCTTTCTCAAAATTCTATTTTGTTGGCGCATTTGCTCTAAATAAAATATGAAGCAGAACATTAACTATTTTGACAAGAAAACTCTTCCTTGAACTCATTTTAAAATAATAGTTAAATAAAGAATATTTAAAATAATAATTGAACAGAAGACAAAATAAATTTTTAGCTAGAAGTATTGTAATCTTTGAGGAAATTGAGAGGATTTTTAAAGATTATATTCAGACTAAATATGAAAACAAATAAAAAGGTTATTTTAAAACAAGAAGTCTAATTTTTAAAGTTTCAGTAGTTTTCCAAAGTGTCGAGAAAAGTTATGAGTTTTACTCCAATTTCAAGGAATTTTGTAATCTGGTTTAAGAATCTTGTTCATGTTCACTTAAATAATTACCTATAGTTTTTTCTTAAATGTTTGCATAAATACTTTAACTTTGTTAGATATTACTGAGGCATGATATTGTTGAAGTAAGTACCACTAAAAATAGGATGTAGATAAATCCAAATAAACTCCTGAAATTCAAGAATTTAATTACTTAATTGCTCAAAATATACGTTTGTATTAAAAAAAAAGTAAGCCTCAATTAAAGCATTGGATTAAAAACAATATTGATATAATTTGATCAAAAACTAGATTAAAAGATATTTCTCTAACATTGAAGATTTATAAAAGACTTTTCAAAATTTTTCAGCCACAACTATGGATGGTGTTTTCTACACTAGGGAACGCTGCAAGTTCGGTACCACCTAATTTTCCGGGTTACTGTTTCCGTTGTATTTTAAAGCCATTTGGCATCATTGTGTTTTGAGATTCTTGCAAACAATGTATTTGATTACTTATTACTTGTGTTTACAAAGCTAAAAGTGTTAACACTAACGTAAGATGGTGCGCAGCTTGCAACAAGAACAAACAGTAATAAACTTATAGAAAGAGGCCATATCAAAACTGCCAAAAAAGCGAGTTATTCAAAATCTAGCAACCATGTCACCTTTTTTAACAGTATATCTCTAAAAAACTAAAACAAATTTTCACTTCAAACTCACCAGAATTACTTATTAACATTAATATCTTATGAAATATGGCAGATTTGAGCTCAGAAATCATCTAATTTATTTCTTTTATTGAAAACAAAATTATCCGTTTGAAAACATCGCCTATCAGAATAACATGTAGTAAGCAGCTGCAAACTTTTTAACAGGACTAGAGTAGGTGCCAAGCTCGAGAGTGTAATTGTTTATATTTCTATTGAAAATACCATCCATTAGGACCATTGTGATGCTGATAAGACAATTCATTGCCTTAACAGCTTATAACTGAAGGATATATTTTAAAAAAATAAGTAGTCTATAAAATATTCATTTAAAATATAAAAAAAAGTATGAATTCTTTAAATTAAAAAAAATAATGACGAATAAAAAAAGGTTTTTTAAGGTAATAATACCTATTCACGAATTTCAAAATAAAAGGGGGGAAAAAAGTTAATGCCTTAATTTTTCTGTCCTGGAAAAATTTTGGATCTGATGACCTAATTGAATATTAAATATCATTGTAAAACATTCAAAAGAAAGATCTTCAGTACTTAGTTATCAAATAAGTATATATATATACATAAAAAAAAATGGAATTGTATTTGAGTAAGTACAAATATTTTTAGCAAAAGATATTTATTTTACAATTATAAAAACTAAAAAGAAATAGAAATTATGATGAATTATTAATTATGTATCTGTTTATAAAAAAGAATTCGAAAACTATAAACATTAATGACGAATTTCTTAAGGTGAATGAATTACTAAACTTAAGAATCAAGTGAGCTTTTAAAATTGTTACTCACCTTCCACTGTGGGTTTTTTCGAAAATATACTCATGATTTATTTTAATATTTAAAAAAAATCACAACTTTAAAATTTAATCTATTTAAATTTGTAATTTAAATCATTCATCAATTTTCACATGACAAATTACTCATTCAGTTTCGTAATGCAACAACGACCAACAATCTACGATGTTTATATAAATTGATAGATTGATTAAACAGGGTTTACGATCTTTGAATCTCAGGTTTGCTTTTAGCTTTCTAATTGCTTTGACTAAAAAGGTTTTTAAACGGATGGTTGACCGTTTAAAGCTAAGCGCAGATGGCGCTAGGGTTTAAACACTCTTAGATAAGGTTTAAACACTCCAGTTTTTCGGAGAGTAAACGAAATTTTGATCGGCAACTTTGAGATAATTCCGATTGTTTTTGAAAGGTTTGAAACTCGCATTGTTGTCAATTCGCGATCGCAACGCTCAAGTACGCCCTCTAACGAGAGCCTGAAAATATCAGACATTAATTTATCACGTTTTCATTTAGTTCTATCAAAATCATTGGCAGAATCAGGCGCCATTTTCTTAGCAGCAAGTAAAAATTTCCATAAGAAAAAGCCGAGGAACTTAAAAAAAACTCTCCAGAATATTGGGATATCTTTCAGACCCATAACACGCCGAACATTTGAAGAAAAATTTCTTAATAATTTTTAACTTCTATTATCAACAAACTTGCAACTGATAACTTCCGAATTCGCTATCGCATACTGTTACAGATGTGTGTATTAAGGTAAAATGCATTTCGTCTGTCTTCAATTCATTACAAATTAAAGTGAAGTCAACATTGCTTTCGTCATTTCAGTAAATAAATGTGAATTCAGAACGTACAGAACTGTAATAGTTATAGAATATTCTTCTTCCATATAAAATAGTATATATTTCTGTATCCATATAATTCGGAAAACAACAATAAAGAATTATCCAAATTACTTGAAATAGTGCCATTTGTGCTGATTTTTAATTAATTTTTATCGTTTTCTTGGTAAGTATTTTTTAGTTTTGAAAGAATAATTTCAACTAGAATTCAGCTGTTCTGTTTTACAGCTACGTATTCAAATTCATATCAAGATCTTACAATTATAAAATTTTGCTGTGTAGTATGTTATCTAAAAGTAATGAAGGTATAAACTATGTATCTATTATTTGAGAATAAAGTTTTCAAACAAGGAACATATCATTTTGGAATTCTCCGGATTTATAAATCAGGTAAGTGTAATGATTTTTACAATAAAAAATTTGCTTGTAAATATTTTTTTTTCTTATTTGATGATAATTCTCTACAGAATGGTTTTTTACGTTTGATTAAGAACTATAAGAATAATAAAAAAAGAAACAATATGAAAGTTTTTTATTTCAATATGAGGAATTTTTAAAATCGTTTTTTTTATTCTAAGAATTCTTTACTTTACGTTTTTCAGTTTATAATTTTTTGATAAAAATGGTTGTTAAAATAAATGTTTTGAAAAATTAAATGGTATAACATTATGTGTTTATGTATACTTCTTGCATATTCTAATGTTTGAAGTAATATGATTGAAAAAAATATGGAATAAAAACTCGGTACTTACGTATTAACGCCACCGCAACTACAGATTTGGCGGTTTTTAAGTGCCAGCAATCTACACCTAAAATTTTTGCGACAAATCATAAAATAAAACACTTCATTTAGTTAGTCAGATTTCGGTGGGCAATGGGCAAAATATTTCGCTCCCGAAAAAATAAAATTGTACCTTGTTCTATTTTTGGCAAATCCCAAAGACGCATTTCCGTAGCACTAAAAAATGGTAACAAGAATCGAAGAACAAATCATTTTGGAATTCTTCTGATTTATAAAGCAGGTAAGTGTTAATTTTTATGAAATAAAAAATTTTACTTTAAAATAATTTTTTTCTTATTTGATGATAGTTTTCTATGGAATGGTTTTCTACGAGCGATTATGAATCAAAAAAGAAAAAACATGAAAGTTGCTTATTTCAATGTAAGAAATTTTTAGAATTGGTCTTTTCTTTTTTGTTTTGCATCGTAAGCATTCTTTATTTTACGTTTTTTAGTTCCTAAATAATGATTTTTATTAAAACTTAAAAATTTTTTGATAAAAATTGTTGTCAAAAAACTTTTTTTACAAAATTAAATTATATAAAATTATGAAGTTTATGTATTCTTTTTGCTTATTGTAATGTTTGAAGTAGTATGATTCTTAAAACTATGGAATGTAAAGTTTAAATAGGCCTTTCAGGTTATATCATTAAATTTAGTAAAACTATTTCTCAGGCAATAGGTTTTAACTCCAATAAGAACATACATATTTCTTTCCGTTCATTTACAAATATTTTTCAGATGTGTTTTGGATGTTCCTTCTTTAAAAAAAAGAGATACCATCTTGTCTTCGGTTGCATAAGAAAGGATATCAAACATTTTTCTTTTTTAAATTTAATAATCCACAATAAAGAAGGAACGTTACAATGCTACACGCTACATTAAAGACGTCTCCAGAGCAACTGAATGACTGTTCATATAGAAATCGCTGGTATTCGTCTCATACAACAACGCCATCTATAGTTCGTTGCGATCGCGAATCACGCGAATAACGTGAGCATTCTAGTAAATCAGACAGCGGTCGGAGATTTGGCAGGCAATAATTTAGTGATAAGTTCTGCCTCTAACGTTCGTGGAATGATTGCAAATAGTACTGTAATTTATCATAGAGCTTCAGTTTAAATTTGAGTGCTGCAGCAAATCTTGAAGTGGTCGAAAAAGTTTGATTCGCGAAAGCATAATATTACTTTTACAGTAATATTATGCTAAATTCTGCTAATAGAGATCAGAAAATGATTGAAATTTTAGTTCTGTTTTGATTGCTCTAGCTAGTCGGAAAGTAATCTAAATTTTAACTAATTCCATCGACACAAATATTCATCTCTCGAGATTCCATCCCAAAAATATCAAGATTCCATTAAGTTAGCAAAAAATAAAATAAAATAAAAAGGTTATTTATATTAAGATATTTAAGTAAAAAAAATATGTTAATAAAACAATTAAAAAAAGCGTTTAGCAATTTAAGTTTCGTAAAGTTATCATTAATTTACTATTAATTGAAATGCTCTTCATTTTATTTCGATTTTAACTTATCTTTGACTTAAACATCACATCATACTAAAACGAGAAATTATAACATAGCAATAACAGTCACTGTGAAAGCTGTAAGTTTCCAACACGGAAGAAGAAAAAGAGATAGAGGAAAAGTGTCGCCAAGTATGGTATCCATTCCTTTATCTTTCTCTTTCGCAACCCAGCCGTTTTGGACAATTTTGAAGTTGTCGTAACTCTCTGACTAAGAGTTAGATAGCTATCAGGAACTCTACTTTCCCCTAGACAGGCAAAAGAAATGATTCAAGCAAGCATTACATAACATAACAATTTACATAACAACTATGTTTACCCACGCATTGGGTGCTTGCAACTCGAGAAGAAGAAGTCCGTTGAAATTACATGATTGATCATAATTATTTGGTTGTGGATGGTGTATTAAAGTCAAAGCTTTTAGTCTTAGTTTATTATCAATACACTTTACATTAACATTAAGAAAGGAAAGAAAATGAAATAGTGTAGAGAATACTGAGCAATGGCTATTTATCTTAAAAACAATGGTGACACGCATAGACAAGCTGGGAAACTGATTGCACATTTTCGACGGATTATAATTCTAGTTTATCGATTATTCCGCCTTGCCACTTGACATGACTGCCGAAGAAACCATCTTTATAGACTCAAAATTTGTCCTTTTCCGATATGCATTCTGTGCAGCTCTGGAGAGGTCATGGACTCCACACATCTACTCCACTGTCTTGCTTGCGATATTCCACTTTGACTAACTCTGGGGCACTCCAATTGAGACTGTTTGGCGTGCGAATTCTTAACACGCCAAATCAATGAATCTCACCCTTTCTCGAATCGTACGAGATTAAACTTCAACCGCTATTATATATATATATATATTTTTTTATACGAGTGCAAGTAGAGTTTGTTTATTTAATGATGGGTGGAACTCGAATGTACAAAAATTTGAACATTCGAACATTTAAATTCGAACATTTAAAATTTGAACATTTAAATGAACAGTAAAATTACTTAAGATATATAAATTGTATTTTTCGTATGTTTTAGTTTCACGTTAATTATTTCATATAACGCAACTTCTTTTTTAATTCAAGTAACGTAAAAATGAGCAGTAATTAATTATACAACTATATGTTTGTATTTACGTGGCGCAACGCAATTTCATTATATTGATAATTAAACATTTCTACCATTTATGATTTCATCTATAGAATCATATTTCCGCTTAGAACTAAATGTTGAAATTTTTTTTTATAAATTTGCTACAAAAATAGTTAATATCAAGAAGTTTAGCAGTAAACCTAAACAACAATTACAATACCTTTTATAAAAAAAATTCGGTNGACAGACAGCATGCACAACGAGTATGCATGCTGTTAATAAGGGAGTTAAGGAGGACTTGTGGAAGACCCTCCCATTCTTCCACCAGAGCAATTTTTAACTCCAGAATGGTTCTGGGGAGAGGTTGGCGCATCGCAATAGCTCTCCCAAGAGCATACCAAGCATGTTCAATAAGATTCGGGTAAGGGGATTTGGCTGGCCAATCCATTCGTTGAATATCCTCGCTTTCCAGATACTCATCAACCATGAGAGCCCTATGTGGTCGCGCATTGTCGTCCATAAAAATGAACTCAGGGCCAACAGCGCCACTGAAAAGACGCACATAGGGCTCTAGGACCTCCTGCCTGTACTTCTGGGCATTCACGGAACCATTGTCAAGCACATGGAGCGGTGTCGGGTATCTTGCATGTGCGAAAATGCTTTCCATCTCTTAATTTTGTCCACCAGTGTATAATACAGAAGTTGAAGAGGTTACATCTTTTTCGTGTAAATAATTTGGCAAATAATGGTCTATCCCTCATACATTTATCCCAGGACTTAAACCTGTAAACTTAAAGAGAACACGAAGACAGTATGGATAAAACTGGAAAAAAAACTTTGTCTCGCATTTTTTATTAACTGGTTTGCATTTGTTAACATTGTAATGCAATACGTTAAAGATAAATACAAATATGAAGTATATAAAAAATCTCCTGAATAAAAACACATTAAGTTTATGTTTAA